CATCATTTACTAAATGAAAATCATGCTGTATGGAAGAAGACTGAAACTAGAGATTGAGACCAAAAACTCATCAGGAAACTGTTTACTGAGCTCATAAATCAAGTCAGAAGTTGGCTCATTTCTCCATAAGGCTTAATGCTGTTGGATTTCTTTCTTGCAACCAATGGAGATGCCCCCTGCTGGCCATTAGAAAGAATGCATTTAAGACCCTTCCATGTTGGCTTATATACTGTCAATGCTTTAAATGCAGTTTTGCTTCAATAAAACATTTATTTGTGTGCAGGAATTCATTTCTGGGCTGAAAAGAGTTGCCGTTGTGGGCCTGTAAAGCCCACTGAGACATTTATGTGATATCGCAAATAAAAAAAATAAATAAACATTTATGCAGCAGGAATTTGTTTTGTCTCCTCGCCTCTCTTGTTAATTCTCTCACGATGCCTTAGATTTACAATACATCAGCCTGACCCTCTTCAACAGCAGATACCACAGCCCTAACCCTAACCTTAACCGTAACCCCAAAATGCTTCCTGATGTCCTCACTTCGGAAAAACTGTGCTTACTCTGGAGGTCAGAAATGGTTCTCACACTGCAGCAGGTCTGCTGGGTGGTTGACTGCCCTCAGTCGCTCATCAGGGATTGTTGATGGAGAGGAGAAGCACGTCTTAACTCCCTTCAGCCCAATCCGATTTTTCCAGCCTGTCTGGGGATTCAAACTGGAGACATTTGGGTTTAAAAAGCTCCAAATTAGGCTGAGAGTTTACATTGGCTATCATGTTGGCCTCAGCACCTTTATTACCTCCCAAGGAACTCAAGTCCACTAAGGCAAGAACAACACAGCGGATGTGAAATGCTCAATAGCATGTTTAAACTCCAGACTGTGTTCTTTGACTGCTTACACGATCGCACCGGCTCTACCTGCAAAGCGACTTCTGCCAATCCAAACAGCCAGCTCACGGATTAGGCAGCTCATCCGCCTGTATATTGTCAAATATTGTCAAACCCTGTGGAGCCGGGCAGACTCTCTCATAACAGGGCAAGAAATTAAACTTTGGCTTGGCAGTCTCCAAACAGTGTAGGAGCCCTGAACAAGGGTTTTTGCCTCTTGAGGTTTCCCCATATTTTCTTTTCTCCTCTGGAGCCACAGATATTTGCATGAACGCTTGCACATGGACACAAAGAATGCAAGCTGATAGGCACTTCAAGGAGCAGAAAACACTACGTGAAATAATGGGAGAAGCAATGCTATGAGGGGGTCGCGCTGAGGATTGAATGGGTGCCAAAAGCGGAGACAGGAACCCAACGTCTAGGAAAAGTTGCAGGTTTACGTCCATAAAGTATGATTCATTGCCTGTAGCAAGGAAACAATAAACTGCCAACCTTTAGCAGAGATGTCACATTCGCTGCCGTACAAAGTGAGAAGGGCACACATCCAAGACCTATATCAGACATGTAAAATCGCACCAAAGGGCCAAAAAACATCAAAAATATTTGTGTGAAATCTTTAAAAATGTTGCCAAAATGATTTCACTGCAGCTTGAGTTTCCCCAAATTCCTGTCAAGAGTTATTTTTTTTCTGCTTGGCTCGTAGTACATCATTTGGTTAAACACAATGTGGCTTTCCACTATAAGCAGGGGAACAATGTTATTATATGTGAGTTCTCTCCTCTCTTCCTCTTTGGACATCCATTAACAGGCCGTGAATAAAAGTTACGGCTCTGTGGTGTTTGTTCTCGGTGCTGTCGC